TAGAACATATAAATCAACCGATCGCCAGACCAAACCCTTAATTGCTGACTATTAAGAGGCAGTCAGGATTGAATTTACAGGATTTAGATATTGCGAAATGTACAGCGTGCCTGTTATGCTGGTCTAATCATACATTCTTAGGGCGAATTATAATTCTACAAAGAGAATTCAGCAATAATTTATCTCTCATCATAAAAAAACAAGAAGCAGGACTGCAAAAGCGCCATCGTTGCCAATTTATTACTTTTCCTTCAAAAAAATTCTTTCACCTCACTACGAAAAGTGTAAGAATGCAAAAAAGGTGTATTCAGTTTGTTTTGAATAGGATTCATAATCTTACCACAAATTTAATTCTTATAGTGCCCTTATTATTAAAGCAAAATCCATCGAGATGCTCCAACTTCGAAGAAAATTTTGTGGTTTCTCAATATGAGATGTTTGCCTTACACTTATTGTTTCTTACACGCGTCATAGCGGCGATTAGGAAGAGTACCGTTATAAGCAAACTCTTACGACTAAACTCTAGTCATTAGAATTAGTCTCATATAGACTAGAGCTTTTTATTAGGCAAAGGTTGTTTACCGTTTAGGTACAATAGGTACAGATCAATATAGTTGGAGCATAGTGATTTTGGTTAAGACCCTTGAATTTTCTACAATTACTTAGTGAAAAGGACATCAAAGCTATTGGAAAGGGAAGGATACTCAATCAATGGCGATTCAGAAAAATAGAGGACAAAACGAAGTTAGATGCTGCTTGAAACGCTGATTTCAGGTCTAATGTCCGTATCTGTCAAATGTTTTCCTGTAAGCAATAATGGAAGTTTTCCTATGCCAATAATAGCACATGCGCGTGCAAGTGCTTTAAAAAGTCAATTCTATATGAAACTACGACATAAAGGGTTGAATAGTGATAAAAACATTGATACATCAAGAGTCTACTTTGCATTGCTATTTTGACTCAAAGTTGGACGTCTGAGCACTTTTTCGCATATCCTGCAAGCATTTATGACAGAGAAAAAAGCGCCCATAACTTCTTCCAAATAAATGCCTGGCAAACAAGGAAAGATCTTAAATCAGCATTCAAAGCTATGTTTGCTGAAATACATCGTTTTTGAAGTTTCGACTAAGTATCCTTCTGTGGTGAGGCGTCCGTACACAGTAGGAAATGAACATAAAAAGGAATTTGCCATGA